GCATCAGGAATGGAGGGAGGGCCCAGACCTTAAAAATAAGTCCCCAGCACAAAAATGTTTGAGAACCATTCTCCTAGCATGATCTTTTTTCTCACTACTGCCCTTTGCTGTCTGGAATGACAAATCTAGTCATAATTTCATAAGACTTAATATTGCTACAGCTAAATAAAAGTCTGCACATAAAAACATAAAATATTACCTTTCTCAGTGTTTTTTCAGTAAGACCGAGTATGGATGCCTGAATTAATGTTATGAATGAGCTGGGAATGTCCTGACTCATTTTCTGTTTCTCCCCATCCAAAACTGTATTCTTAAAATCTGGACCTTACCCTCTTGCTAGACTATAAAGCATTGTACACAATAATTGCACTTTAGAAAATATCTCTGTAATGTGATATTCTAGCAGAGAATGATGTTAGGTCACCTGGTATGATGTCTGTTAGTAGGCTTCCATGTAAGAGACAGACAGGTTTCCATTAACTGCTTAGGTCTGTTTTAATCAGTTGTTTTCTAAAATAACTAACATTATTTTAATGAGCATTGTTGTTAATCGATATCTTTGTCACATGAATGTGTAAGAAATTCTGCGTGAACTAAATATTACTACTAAGCAATAATAAAATTTTTTTTAAAAGCTCTTCTGGAACTAGTGTGCTACAATGACAACTGTGACCTATGTTTTAATAATAACATAATAATGTTACTAAGCTCTTGCATAGTACTTTTCAACAGTAGATTCCAAAACACTTTTTGAAGGAGGGACCTTCATCCCTTTTTATACATAGGGAAGCTGAGGCACAAAAACCTACAGTCATCCAGCTGGTCAATGGCAGAGACAGAATGAGAGACCATGTCTTTGAAATTCCAAATAGGTGCTCTGGCCAGTGGATCATTCTGCCATGCTCCTTTGCACTTTTGTAGGCAATGTTCATTGAGTAGATTATGATATCTTTTATTAGACCAACTGAGTAGTTGGAAAAAAGTTTTTAGCAAGCTTTTGGGCACAGTCACCTGTCTTCAGGCATAGGAAGTGTCTTCTGTTCACCTTTGCATTTTTGTAGCATTTGCCACTTAAAAATCCAGGGTTTCATGCACATGTTAACTAAACTGCACAGTACCCCGTTGATCTCAAAACTGATGACGATGATAGTACATCTCAACTGGAAGAAGTCCAGGACTTTTCTCCCATGCTAAACTGCTTCAGTATAACTGACTTATCTCCATGATGTCCTTTTGCTTAAAGTCAGTGACAAATCTGTTCACGAGCATATCATTGCATGAGGTATCATAATTATCCATGGTATACCTGCCTAGAGCCCAGTAGTAAACTGCATGCTAAAACCAATAGAGAGTGGGCAGGCTCTTTAAAAGCCTTTATCTGAGAAATACTCATTTTCATGATAAATCATGAGATGCCTATTATGTGGAGAGAAGTTTACAACAGCCACTTAGGTGTGCTGCTATGAAAAGCATCAGTAGGATGGTTTAGTTGCCTCAACTTGTCAAGTCGGCTGATAAGAGATAGAATGTGCAGGAATATATCTCAGCAACCCCTTAGCGCATCTACACAACAATGGGTCTGTTTACATTGTAATCAAAGGTCAGCTTGGGTAGGCACTTGAATCTGGCTAGCTGGGGCCATCTGCATAGCAGTGACACTGTGGTAAATGCTGACATGTATAGCTAGCTGACTCATTGCAGGTATTTAAGGACCAAGATAAAACTCTTAAGACCAGGATCACTCAGGAGTCTAAAACCATGCAGGAAAGGTCTGACACCATTCACAGCACTTGGAGAAAGCAGCCACTGTACACATCTTTCTTGGGTATAGAGGAGCCTCCTTCATGGGCTCATCAGTTCTATGGGTCAATGGAGTTGTTCAGCCATGAAAATGGAAGACAGTAATGGTGGAACTGGTGCATGTGGGTATGGGTGGTTGAAGGTGTCCCTCATCATGGGTGGTTGAAGGTGTCCCTCATCATTTAAGATGAAATGGAACATATTCAGCATTCTCTAAGAACTGCTGAGGGAATGTGGGTGATGGGGATTGTGTTTCTTATAGGGCTGTGCAAAACAGCATCATTCGGATTTGACTTCCGTTTCGATGATTTGACAAAACAGTGTTTCGTTTCAAGTTTCATTTAATTTTGAAAGCACTAGTCCATTTCGTTTCATTGAAGCTTTTGTTGTTTCAGCGCTGTTTTGATGTTTCACCCATAGGATATTAAGGGGAAACAAAATGCAGCAGGCAGATTGGGGGCTCACCTGTACCCCCAGGAGGGCTGCCTGAGTCCTCCTGGTGGC